TCCTAATACTAGAAACAGTTGGTGTTTGAACATTTGGAGCTAATAACCCGTAGGGAGCTCCATTTCTTCCTACTGTCTCCCATCTTTCAGTACTCAAAATCACCACCTCTCTCTCTGTTCTGATGGTTAAAGCCTGTTGTTAAAAAATCCCTCTCTCCATCAGAAGAAAATTCCTCTTCAGCTCATCTGTTGCACTGCTAGATCTGATCTCCTTATTCTTGGCAACAACTGGTGTCAGAGTAAGCCTAAATCCTGAATCCTCAGTATCCATGAGACAGTGACCCTAAGACATCAATCTCATCTCTACCTTTCTCCCAGGCTTCCTTCCTTCAGGGACTTAGAATCACCTAAGGACCATCTTCTTTTCCTGTTTCTTAGGTCTTCAAGGACAAGAAAAATAGTAAGACTGCACTGGGACCAGTGTGGGGAGAGGGAGGGGCGGGGTATGAGCACAGCCTGTTGGAACCCAGGCTTCCAGACTCTCAGCATCCGGCCCAGTGCTCCCTCCCATTCCAGAGAGGTCAGCCATTGCCCTCAGCCCTGGGCTCTGGCCGCTTCTCTATACCAGCTATAAATCCTGTCTTTGTCTCCCTTTGCAGACCTGGGCCCCAGGCAGGCTGGGGGTCAGAGGCTCGGGAAACGGTCAGTGTGGAGGAGGGGGAGATACAAGGAGAGGGGGAGGAGATGGACAGGAGCAGCTGGTGGGCAGGCATTGGGGGTGGGCAGTGAGGGAACGGGCCTCTTGATTCTAAGATCTGGCTGCACATTCCAGCAGACCAACATTCTAAACTAGAAAGCCAGGATTCCTAAGGAGGGAGAAACACCTTGGGAATGGCCCCTGGAGTATTAGGAATGCTAGAAGACAGGAGGTTTGTGTGGGGTGCTTCAAAGGCGGCTGCTGAAGAAAATGGGAGGATGTGGATGTTGTGGGAGTCATCTCCAATCCCACTATAGGCCCCCTGTACATGCCCCCTATGTGTGTGGGTATGTGTACACACACATACAGATTTATGGCCCATCAGCACCAGTGAGAGAGCCCTGGACAGCCTGCCTGCCCCTTGACTGGCTGCTCCTCAGCGCCCTTCTTTTACTGTTTCTTTGACTTCACTGTTTGCATCTCTAGCTTCATTTTCTTTGCTTTCAGCCTTATTGTCAGTTTCATTCTCCCAGTTTGTCGTTCTTGTTCTGCTCTAAGTCTCTGCCTTTGTCTTTCACGTTCTTTTTCCCTTTGTTTCTCTTCTTGTCCCTCTTTCCCTATTTTCCACCTCCCTGGACTCTCCATCTGCCATGACTCCGCTTCTCCCAAGGACTGGTCCAGACATTCTACCTGTTCTTTCCCACTTCAGAGCCCTCTATTCTGGCCCAGGGGGAACCTCTAGGCATCAGGTTGCAAAGAAAGAAGCGCTCAATGAGTTCCTGCTTTCTTAGGAGGTCTGTCAGGACTTGGATTAGGATATGGTATGGAAGGAAGGAGGGCAGGAGTGCTTCTTGGGACAGGGGGCAACCAAAGAGAGAAGTGTAAGAGAGTAGAGGTGAGAAGGGGAGAGAGAAATTAATAAAGATACATGAAGGATAAACACTAAAGAGAAAAGAAAAAAAAAAAAGAGTTCTTAAGTGTTTTGGTCAGTCTGATAAGTGCCCTGAAGCAGATCTGGAGACACACAGAGATCTGGCCAGAGGACCAGATGCAGTACCCTCCATGCAACATTTCTGACCTCTCCTCCTTAGCTGGGAAGGTCTCAGAGACCTCTTCTCTGCAGTCTTGGAGTGCTGGTTTTCTCCCCACTCACCCTCCTTCCTTACCACCTCCTCTCCTCCTCCAGTAAGAATGACATCAGCTCTGGCTGTCACTATCCTAGGCCCTGATGATGTACTCTCCCATGAGCGAAACAGGGGCCAATCACCCTGGCCCCACCCATTCATTCCCCAGTCTAGGAGCCAGGGCTGATCCAGTCCTCCATTTCTCTTGAGTGGGTATGAGGTAGTACCAGGAAGGTGGCTGAGGGCTTGATGGAAAAGAGGGTGCATAGGTACCAGAGGGAGAGGAGCTGGAGGGAAGCACTTGAGGCAGAGAGACTACAGCACTAAATCACCCAGGGCGTGGGGGAGAAACTCTGCCTGAGCTCAGTGGGGTGAGGAAAGGATAGACACTGGAGGAGGAACAGAAAAATGGAGAATCGCCACATCTGGCAGGCAGGTGTCTGGCACTGTTGAGGCTGCAGTCACTTTCTCAGCCAAAGGGGAGGAAAGAGAGGGAGAGGGGAGGAGGGTCCTCCCAAGGTCCCCAGGGGAAGGGAAAAATAGGCTCACAACAGAACAAAAAAGATCAAGGCCCAGGAATCCAGCAGAAACTGGCCTTGGGAGGTAATCAGACCCTGCTTTCAGTCTCTACTTCAGTCAGCGCTGGGACATAAAGCCTGAAAGAAAACTGCAAGCCAAGACTGAGTGGGCCAAGACACCAGAGTTCAACTTATTAGGAAACAGAGCCTGGGGAAGTTCAAGCCAGGCTAGGCAGGGGAGATTGAAGCTCACAGAATGAAAAGTCAGGGAATTAAATCAAACTCTACTCTTAGCACCATCACTGACCAGTGTTGGGCCATGAGTAGCAAGATGAGAATGAAAAGGTTAAGTAGGGCTTCTTTCCAGTTCAGAAGGGGAAAGGTTCACCTTTCAGTGCAGTACTGCAGAGTAGTATACCCAGCTTTTAAAATTTAATCTGCAGAGGGAGATTCCAGGGACAGACAGGTTTCTGAACTTAATTGCCAGGTTCTAGTAAACTAACAATTCTGCTTCCTGATGCTGGAAAGGCTTCCCTGTGCCCATTACCTTCCCTTCCTTTGCCCTTCCCAATCTGAGTTCCTAACCATCTCTTGCTTAATGTTAGACTTGCAGGCCACTTTTATGAGTAAAGGTTACTGAGGAGACCCTGCAAATTGTACTGGAGAGGAGGGCTCCTCACACATCCCCCCTCCTTAAAATACTGCAGAGGATGGGGGAAAGAAAACCAAAGCATTCTCCTGTCGCCGCGGCAACCATAAAACCCCGAGCTAAATCCATCTTGTGAGCTCACCGCCCCATTAAGATGCAGGGCCAGGCTCTGCGCCAGCCCAGCCACATTCATTTGTGCGAATAAAGGTGGAGGAGGGGGAGGGGAGCAGGCTCTGGAGGGACGGGGAAATGGCGAGAAGAGGTTATTTACACCACCGTCCTGACCTTCTGGAGCTGCGCTGGCTCAGATAAATAACCCGCTCAGCGCCGCTGTTTCAGAACTGGAGTGGGAGGTACAGGAAGGGAGCCTGGGCTGAAGGAGAGCCCCACGCAGGTGCGCGTCTCAGGGTTACTAATGGCTGAGGCGGGAGCAGGCAGCTGGCTTTGGGGGTAGTAGGGGGGAGAGCTCAGTTCCCCGGGACTCCCACTGAGAAAATACCATCCCCACCCCACCCCTGGCGCCAATTTCCAGGCGAGGGGACTGAGAGATGCCAAGGAGGCAAACAGTCCTGTAAATTAGGGATGGGGGGAGGATGCTAAGGGAGTCTCTGAGGTAGAAGGGAAGAAATATTATAAGATGGGGAGTGAGGGGGGCTGGAGGAATGGGAGCAGCTGCCAAAAAGAGAGGAACAGAATCACACAAAGGCAGTTTGGAAAAAGAAATCTTTTATTTCTCTTTGCACAGAGTAGTGTATGAAGGTGGAGATCTCCTGACTCCACACATACATCTTTTACACAAAGGTACCCCCACCCCTTCAAATATGCCCAGTTACTTGCCCTCTTCAGTTTTGGAGAACCGGTAGTTAGTGGAAAAAGAGAACCCTTAAGTCTCAAGAAGGTTTTTTGAGATATTTTTGTGAGGAGAGAGAGAAAATTTTAAGACAATGAAAAAAAAATAAGACCCAAAAGTGAGTGATCCATCCTCTGTCTTCCTAGGGAAATTCAAATCCCAAAGGGTTTGTGGAAAAAAAAGACCATTCTTTCAACAACCTAGGCAGGAGAAGTGAGATGAAGTAGAAGCAGAGAGAAGATAGGGTTAAACAACAGAGACTGCAGACTCAAGGTAGAGGAGTGAAATGCATGTGGGGGAGCCTAGGGGACTGACAGAGCCCAGAGGCCCAAGTCATAAATTCCACTCCCTCCCCTAGTTCTGAGCAGAAACTCTTCTTCTCAAGACTAGAATGGAGTTTTAGTTCCAAGGACTGGCTTTGCTCCAAAGCACAGAGAGGACAAGCTAGGAAAAGATCCCACAGGTAGTAAAGGTGGGCAGATAAGGTAGTGGGCTAAGAGATGAACCCTCCCACACTGAACATTCACAGACCGCAACAGTTTTGAAGCTATAATCCAGGATCAGGGTAGAATTGCAGCTGTGACTGAAGTAAAGGAATTTTATAAGCTTCACCCAACACAATTTTAAATCACTGTTCCTTCTACTCTAACTTCTCGCTGTGAGTTGTTTTCTATCTCTTTTCCCAAGGACAGGGCAGTAAGAATAGAAGACTATGCTGAGGCCAGGTGGAGCTAGGGCTGAGAATGGATGTGTCTCTCAGTCCACCCTACCCCCCATATCCTTCTATAGAAAAGAATTCTCTCTCTTCCCCTCCCCTTGCTGGACATATGGCTGCTGGGATGAAGGTCTGGCAAAGGCAAAGGGAGGAAAACTCTCAGCACATTCTTTCTCCTGCTTTGATCTGAAATGTAGTTGCAGCAAAGGGCACAGAAGCTGAAGAGGAAAGTATGAGGGATAGGAGAGCATGGGGGGGGGCATATAATCTAGTCTAGAAAGAGAATGTTTCCCCATCCTTTATCTAAAACGGGTGGGAGCTTTACTCTCAGAACTGTAAGAATGAGACAAAACAGGAAATATGTGTATGAGGGAGCACAATCACAAAAGGAGATTTAAGGACTTTGTGATCCCCAAGATAACCCTGAGAGCATCAGTTGGGGTGCTAGATAAGAAGTCACAGTAGACATGCGATGATTGGAGGTGTGGAGCCAGGAACAGCGGGTGTTCATCTAAGCAGTGACCATTTGATCTGTTCTTTGGCTGACTGCAGCACCTGCAGAGACAAAGGCAGCTCTGGGAAAGGCTGGTTAGGGGATAGGGTGGGAACAGGGAGAGGGCTCTCCTTCCTCTCACTTGCCTTCCTTGTCCTTAGAAGATGGGTGGTGACACAAAACCCCCAAATAGTAGAGAGATAGGAAAACAGCTAAGGCCCTAGATGGATTGCCAGTTTAGGAAACTTAAAAAAAAAAAAAATTCAAATCCACTAGAAGAATGAAGATGTCTACCTGGGTGTGTGGGAGGGTGAGGGGGGGTGTTGAGGTTTGTGTGTGTAGAAGGGGAGGTTACTAGATATATGTTAAAAAAAAAAGGTACCAAATCCAGATTTTCCAGTGGGTAGAAAACAGAATCCTTCCCTTGCCCTGCCCCTGCTTAGGTAGATAATCTATTTGCTGTCAAGGTCTGCAGTCAAGGTAGCAGGACAGATCTGCAAAACCTGCATATTCTGGAATATGCATTTCCAGCTTGGCCCTCATTTGAATAATAAGGGAGAGAGTGCTAGTGTGTGTGCACACAGACCATCTGCTTAAGGCAAGCCTCTGCTGGGGAATAAATCACTGAATGAAGCAGCAGGCAGGGAGTGTTTGAAGGGTACAGAGCAAGGCTGACAATCACTGCTCACAGGAAACTGGGATAGGGGTTGAGGGATAGGAGGTAGAAAGCATATGACTGTATATGCCCCAGTTCTCTGAGGAGGGAGCCTAGGAAAATGTGTCTTCAGTCTCCAGTGCCATTCTGATTTGACAAGTTGGGGTGAAATTTTGTTCTAGGCTCTTTAGTGACCCAATCTATCTGGAGAGGAAGAGGAGAGTAAGTCATACCTGAGACACAGTTTGCTCCGTAAGGGGAACATCTTCACCCTATGGCAGAGAGAGACAGGAATTCATCATGGGAGAAAGCTTAGAATTAAGGTCTATTTATTTGGTGGTAGAGAAGGAAGAAGTGGTCTTTTAAACTGACACAAAATGCAGGGGCCCTAAATTTTTCTCAGTCCTTTCTGAAAGTGTGTCATCATAACACAGTCAAAATTTCATTTGGCCTAAGGCTCTGTGAGCAAAAAACATAAGTCATTTCATCTATCCCTCTGTTTCTGAGGCAAGATAAGGCAAGAGGCCTTAAAAGATATATTACATTCCAAGTAATCAGCAAGTTATCTGATCCTCAACTCCCTCAATTTAGGGGTGGGGGCCTGATTCCCTCATCAGAGAAGACCTTCTCTGAATATCAATATGGTTAGGGAAAGGATGAGCGGGAGCCAAGGGTAGTTTAATGGATCCTGCAAGGGCTGATGGGTAACGACAGCATGTTAATTTGAAGAAATAAACTGCTGCAACAGCAGCCTGAGAAGAGAAAGGGGGGTTAGTGGTGGTGGTGGTGAACCCTCTCTCTTGCCACATAGAGACATATGTTAGAGGAGAAGATTAAACTATGCAAATGGAGCCCAAGGCAGTTAAGGAAGAAGATTTCCCATTACCCTGCACTGTCAGCCTTCACTCTGTGGAGGTCAGAGCTGGGACATTCTGTGAGTGGGGAGATCTGCTTTACTCTCTATACCCCCATAATTTCTGGGTGAGCTCCCTCTTCAGCCACCATCATCTTCCTAGTAGATTTAGAGCTTTCCCTGGCCCTCTCAGAGACTTCTTCCTGACATTATTAGTACTGAAAAGGACTAGAGATCTATCAAATGGGACTCTATGATTGAGAAGTGCTATCACTAATTACATAAAACTTTTAAGAGATTAGAAAGACAATCTCCCTCCAGGGACAGGAATAATACAAAACAGACCAACAACAAACTTAGAGAAGTAAGCCAGCCCCCTTTAAGTTCCTTCAGGAAGTTACTTTATTTGATTCAATAAATATGCATTAAATATCCAATTTGTGCAAAGACTGTACTAAGGTTTAAGGTGCAGAAATAAGTTACTTCTACTTTCCTTCTTCAAGATAATAATAGTTTGAAAGGGAAAAAAGCTTTGTTTTTTGTACAAGCTTTGACCCTTAAGGGCATTTAAGTTAAGGAAGCATTTGGGAAGTCTGGTCCTGGAGAGTATCTGTGAGTAGACAGAGAGATTTAAGGAACATACTCATACTTACCCTTAATGCCACCCGGTGTACTACTTGCTGAGGATCACTCTCTAGGATCACCCTACAAAGACAAAAGAAGAGACCACTATTCATACTGTCCTGAAAGATCAACTTACTAACGAATATGACCATTAGCTCATTTGAGTTAGGATAGAGGCAGTTACCCCACCACCTTACCTCAGCCCCAGAGAGGCCTGGTCAGGGCACAGAACTCACCCTCCATCCACGATTTCATCCACAGCCAAGAAAAGGCCTTCCATATTCTCCAGCAGAGCTCGCTTTTCTACATTTTTCCTGATTGCCCAAAGAGAAGGAAAAAAAATCCAGCTTGTTTGTAAAAGATATCACAGACCTCTATTGAGCTGGGGGTCCCAAGATAAATCAACAAATATTTCCACCAACTACACAGACAAAAAGCAAATAAGGTGAAGAACCACACCCACTCTAAATTCCTCCCTATTCTTATTTGTTCAGTAAGGATCAAGGAAGTGACTCTTCAGAAATTGATTACCTAGACCTATCATTTCTTTCCTACCTGTCACACTGCTGTACCTGAAACTACTCATAAACAGTGACATTAGTGGGAAGGAAGAAAAATACATGAAGCTAAACTTAATCTGGAGGTGATCAGAGGTAGGAGAGGGCTTAAGGGAAACTCTTTACATCAAGCACTGATAAACCGCCTAAGTCTCTCTCTGTTCACCCTTTACCAGTTTTGCTAGGCCCTTTAAAAGAAGCCAAACTAGGGATCCAAGAACAGTCAGGGCCTTCATTCACCAGCCACAGATCTGGTGGTTGGTACATTTGGCCAGTCACATCTGTCAGCTTGAATGCTTCACTAGATCACCCAAAACGAAGTCTATTCATTCACCTGGCTAAGAAATAAATCAACCCCTTCCTGAGGAAACCTGAGCCATTCCCCCTGCTGATTTTGTGAGGCTGAGAGCGCCTGCTGCTTTGCTCCGGATGGCTGTCTGTACTGGGTTCACTTGGGAACTACTGGGGAAATTAAGTACAGAGCCTTGGATTTTTTTCAAGAAAAGTATCTTATATTTCTTCTATTGCCCATATACATGAAGATAAAAGGGCTGGTGAGAGGCTGAAGGGAAGAAGCAGCTCTTGTTCAACAGAAGGAAAAACGGAAAGGCTGGAAGTGAAAATGTGGCTGTTTTGCCTCCATTTCCAGAGACCTGGTATTCCACCTGGGCATTTTTCCTATGCTTGCCTTTCCCCAAACTCTAATGTAAAGAAAAAAAACCAAAAAAACCCTGGAAGTTTAACAGTGAATAAAGAAGACCAAAGAAGAGGCAATGCCTTTGAATTGTGGTGCTAGAGAAGAATATCCCATGAACTGCTAGAAGAACATGTAGGTCTGTCTTGGATGAAGACAACTGTGCATGTTACTGCCAGGAGGGACCAGTCCAGGAGAAGGACATCCTGCTGGGCAAGGTAGAGATACGTTGTTCACAGGGTTGGATGTTATGAGTTGTAGTCAACTGAATGGCACTTAACAACAATGTAAAGAATGAGGCTCCAGAGAGAGCACCCAGAAGGTTTTCTTAGAACTCTGTCAAGGCCACTAGGGAATATAAAAAGTAGGCATAGGAGTGACTGCAACTTATAGCAACCCCATGTACAATAGCTCTGAACCCTAACTATCCTGAGCTAATCTCACTGTCTGCAACACACCTACCACCATTACTCAAGTTACTGTATCATCTCATCAAAGGTTTTCCTCTCCTGTGCTGTCCCTCCAGCCTTCCAAGCAAGATGTCCCTCTTGGCAACATGCCCAAAGTATGTGAGACGGAGCTTCAAAATCCTTGCCTCTAGTGAGACGAAGCTTCAAAATCCTTGCCTCCAAGAAGAAACTTGGTTTCACCAGTTCCATGACAGACTTGTTTATGCCTCTTGGCAGTTTATGGTATGTTCAATACTCTTCTCCAGTACCACACGCAAAGGCATCAATTCTTCTATTATCCTTAATCACTGTCCAATCTTCTGATGCATACCAAGTAACTGCAAAGTCTATGGCCTGGATCAGGTGCACCCTGGTCTTCTGAATGACATCATTGCTCTTCAGTACTCTGGAGAGGTCCCTGACAGCAGATTTTCCTAATGTAATTCGTCTTTTGTTTTCCTGACCACTGGTAATCACCACAGTAGGAAATTATTCCATGGGAAGGAAAAGCTTTCCATCTAGTCCTTCCTGACGTCATGAATAACTGAGGTAATAAGCTCAACTTCTTAAACTAAATCAACTCCCTGGAGCCTCTGCTGATCTTCCATAAATCCCTATATTACATTATCTTATAAACCGACATCAAGAAATGGTCTGCTCACCTCAGCATCTGGCTCAGTGAGTCAAAGAGGCAGTTCAGAACAGTCATGAGCATCAGCTGTTGGGAGATAGAAGGATAAAAAGTTCAAGGATCTGAAAGAAACTATCTAGAAGCAAAATTCTTCAATTTTTGAAGCATCAAAAAGCATAAGCACTCACCAAAAAACCACAAGCATAAGGTGGAGGAGGAGCAGGCAAGTGCAATTTCTCACAAAAAATTCATTCTGCTACATAACACCAAAATGCAAGTCTCTGCTGCCAGAATGTTCAAGACTTTTCATGTCACATTTCTCTACATGGTTTACCAACTGTGTTAACTAATGTCATTATTGTTGTTGTTTTGTGCCGTTGAGTCAGAACCAATCCATAGCGACCCTTCAGAGGGTGTTCAGACAGTTAACTGCACAGGAGAAGACTGCTCATTCTTCACCCAGGGAGCAGTAGGTGGGTTGGAACCATGTTCCTTCAGGATCGCAGCAGTTTCTTACCACTAGGCCACCAACAACACTCCCTACTTAATGTTATAGGTAGAAAAATACATCAGCCAAGATACAGATGAAGTCATAAGGCAGCAGAGTGAGTGGAAGATCATGGGCTTTGGAGTCAGAGAGATCTGGATTCAAGTCGTGACTACAGGAAAGTTATTAGATCGAATTACATGAAAGAAATCACTTTTACAGGTTGATAACGGTCAAATATAAATAATATGATATAGTTCTTAATTTATCTCCCTCATGTGTAAAACAAGGGTACTAATGATATAATGCATAGAAGTGTTGCAAGGTATAAAAAAATATACTTATTGGGGAGCTCTGGTGGCCTAGTGGCAAGAAGCTGCACTGCAATCCCAGAGGAACACGGTTCGAATCCACCAGATGCTCTGCCGGAGAAGGAGGCGCAATATCCTCCTGTACCAGTCAGATCTGATTTGAAGGTACATGCACACAAAATAATTAAAAAAAAATAATTAAAAATTAAAAAAAAATATACTTATCATGATCTTATAGCAATAAAAAAAATTCTTAAAAGTTAGTTCTTTTAAACTTTCTCTTTAAATGAGGCAGGAATGTTATTTTTACTACTTATCTACTCTTTCAGAGCCCAACTGTACTCTGATACACATGGGGTCTCTATTAGCCAAAGTTTGTTGTTGTTATGTACTACTGAGTCAGAACTCAACTCATAGCTGATCCTCCAGCAGATTTTCAGAGGCAGTAAACTGCACGTGAGAAGACTGTCCATCTTTTTCCTGCAGAGCTGTTGGTGGATTCAAACCTTGTGCCTTTGGGTTGGCAGTGCAACTCCTTAAAACTAAGCCACCAAAGATGGCAAAGTTCATCTCTCATACTTTGGGCATGCTGCTAGGAGAAACTTTTCCTTGGAAGGGGACATCATGCTTGAAAGACTAAGCAAAAGATTACTATGCCTGAAAGGTCAGTGAAAGAGAATAAAATCCTCAACGAGATGGATAGACACAGTGACTACAGCAACAGGCTCAAGTGTGTCAGAGATGATGAGGATGGCACAGGACAGGACAGGGTTAAAGTCAGTTCACAGGGTTGCTGTAAGATAAACTCAACTCGGCATCCAACAACAACAATCCTCCCAGAAACTGCTCTCTAAAGTAAACAGCTTTCAGTGAGTACAGGAAGAAGGTAAAGACAACTATATCCACAGCCTTTCCAAGTGAATAATTTAAAATGTATGGCTAAAAACAAAGTAAAATGTATGGCTAAACATAACGAAGAGTATTGGCTAAGTGGTTGAAGCATGCTTAGTTGTGATTTTTTATGGTAAGATCTCCCCAATCTTGACCACATCTCAGAAACCCATTTTTATAAAAAACACTATCCAGAGAGGGACATAGCTATTATTATATGTCAGCATGCATTAAAAGACATATAGTGCTACTTATATGATTGTTGTTGTTGCTGTTATGCGCCATCGAGTCGCTTGCGACTCGTAGCGAATCTATGTACAACAGTCCTAAACTCTGCTCTGTCCTGTGTCAATCGCACCGCCTCTGATACACCCATCCAGATTACCCCAGTCACTGAATCAATCTACCTCATCGAGGGCCTTCCCCTCCTGCGTTGTCCCTCCACCCTGCCAAGCACGATGTCCCTCTCCAAGGACCAGTCCCTCCATACAACATGTCTAAAGTATGTTAGATGGAGCCTCAGAATCCTTGCCTCCAAGGAGCCGTTCGGTTTGACCCATTCCAGGATGAATCTGTTTGTTTTCCTAGCAGTCCGTGGTACCTTCAATACTCTTCTCCAGCACCACAGCTCAAAAGCATCAATTCTCCTTCTATGCTCCTTAGTCATTGCCCAACTCTCTGATGCATAACAAGTGATAGCAAAGACCACGGCCTGTATCAGATGCACCTTAGTCTCCAGAGAGACACCACTGCTCTTCAGTACTTTGGAGAGGTCCCTAACAGCAGACTTTCCCATGGAAATACGTCTTTTTAAAAAAAAAATTTTATTTTATTATTTTTTGTGCATGTACCCTCAAATCAAATCTGACTGGTACAGGAGGAAATGATCCCTCCTTCTCCGGCAGACCATCTGGTGGATTTGAACCATGTACCTTTGAGATTGCAGTAGGAAATATGTCTTTTAATTTCCTGGCTACTGGTGCCAAAAGTGTTGACTGTGGAGCCAAGCAAACTAAAGCTGTGAAAAATCTCAATCTCTTCACCATCCATCCTGATGCTGCCAATTGGCCCAGTGGTGAGAATCTTTGTCTTCTTGACATTGAGCCTCAATCCATATTGGAGGCTGCAGTCATAATATGAGGAAACTGCAACCAGAGTGCTCCTCAGAGGTAAAGATGGTTAGATTTCATCTCACATACCTTGGCAAGTTATATGAGGGGTCAGTACTTGGAAAAAGATACCACGTTTGGAATATTTAGAGTCACTGGAGAGGAAGACCTTCAATGAGATAGAACGGTACATAACTGCAACACTGGACTTAAGTTACAACAGAGATCGTAAGGTTAGCATGGAATCAGGCAGAGTTGCATTCTGTTGTACAGAGATGCTGTGTGTCAGAGCCAACTCAATGGCACCTAATAATAACAAATAAAAGATAAATGTGGGAAAACTTCCTTTCCAGGTTTGTTCATTTGCTGAACCATATTTGTAGACCCGGCAGATATCTCTGGCAACTTCCAAAGACAGCAGTCAGAGGGACAAGGCATTTCTGGGGCGTCAGTGTCTGTGGTTTAGGCAGTAGAATCAGAGTGGATAAGAATGCTTACCTCATTTTCATAGGAGCTGCCGATCACATAGAAATACAGATCAATACTACTTTTGTATACCACTGTCAGGCCTTCCAAAAGGGCAATTTCACCTGAGAAAAAGAGTGGAAACAGTAGGTGGCCTGAGATAAGGTGTTAAGACAGAGAGAGTTACTATGAACTTGGTATCTATCCATTTGGGGTTAGGGTAGCACAGTTCATAATGACCTGCAAAGTCCTAAACTGACCTGTTTTTTTGTTTTCCAGAGGGAGCAAAAGATAAATAGAACTTTTAAGTATCTAAATGTATCTTCTCCTCTACTCCCTCCGCTACCCCTTATTTCCCTCCTTGTGTATGAGACAGGATACTAGTCATCTTTCGGAGGTGAAAATGCAGAGCGGTCACCTTTACAGACTTCCATTTACCTGCCCTAATGGATGCGGTACAATAAGCAGAGCTGCAGTTAAATTTGTCAAGTGAGGCTCATAAATCCAGGGACTAGACAGGTAGCTAACAGCCAACCTTCCAGCACGGTATTCCCGCGTGAGGTACACTCACCTCCCCATTACATTTCTGAAGAGTTTATTATATGAGGGGAGGAGGGAAAGAAAAAAGGAGGCAGAGTCATTTTATCCTTTCTTCATAATCTTGTTCACTATCTTCTTTCCCACCATGGTTCCCTGAACACAGGGAGTCAGTGAAAGGAAAATGACCTACTGTCCGTCCGATGGGTCTTGTTGAAAATGTTCTTCTCAAAAGCCTTTTGTTCCTTGACAGTTGGATACGTGTCATCATAGTACTGGTCAAAGGGAAAGGAGATGGAGTTGAGTCTTTAGAGCTGAAATCTCAGAATGATTAATCATGTATTTTGTTTTGGGATCTTGGATTTCTATCTGTCAAGGAATGGGGCAAAGGATAAACATGAACACACAGAAGGATCGACCACAGACACAGGGAACTGACAGTGAGTAATCTAATTTTTTTTTTTTAAAGTAAAGGTTGCTCACTTAACATTCCTAAGACTATGTGAGGGTAAAGAGACCTGTGAGCCTGACAATGAGGCTCTGCTGCTCTGCATTCTGGCAGAGTTCTGAGACCATTCCCTGACAAGTGCTTCCAAGGTGCTACCCTGAGTCAGGGAGTAGTGCCAGTGAACACATAGGCATCAGGAGTGCAGAATTTCAGTCACTGCATGAAGCTGAGGAATGGGAAGAGCCTGCAAAACTGCCCTGTGCTCACTTATCTTACCTTTCTTTTCCACAAACTAAAAGAAGTAAGAGGCAATTTAGTGTGTTACTGAGCCCACTCTCAACCTCTCCCTGGCAAGGGGGAGGAGATGCAGGCTGCTAAATCGCTCTGCTCTTTAGGGGCTAATCTGTCGCAGTCAGCTGAAGACCTATGACAGGTCTGGCATTTAGTAACTGGATAACTGTTTCAAAAGGTGTCCTGCATAGTTACATCCAATTACAGGGAGGAACAGCTGGTGAATTCTAAACTAATCTCTACCTGCTGATTGATTTATGCTATGCTCGCCCAGAGTTAATACACCAGGGACAGAAGAAATTTCTACAGGAGGGGGAGCATTCTGAGGGAAAGGAAAGGGGTGTCCTTTCTCCTTTTTTTCCAGTAGGCCTAAAGTTAGAGACATCACTCTGAGAAGTCAGGAAAAGGTAAGTTTGATGTGACTACAGACTCAGGCCTGGAACCTTACACTGGCTAGAGTCTCCTGGAAAAATCCAGGCAGGGTGATAAGCAGGAGGGAAGGCAACAGGAGTGATGGGTATGAAAAGCTCATTTCTCATGTCTAGACACTGCTGTGTTCAAGAACTAAGACTCTCAAGCTTTTTCCCTGCTTGTATACAGGTAGTAAAGGAGACTAAGGTCTAAAGACAGCAAGGAGGGAAGCAACAACTCAGATTTTATCTGAAATGGCCAAAGTAAGATGAAGACTTGTTAAAAATTATAATTATCAAGGAATAGGAATTAACAAGGTCAGTTTTAACCTTCAAATCTTGGAACATGTCTTTGTTCTGCTCCCAAATTAACCTGAAAGGAATACTCACCTTGGCAAAAAGTCGATCTCCATCATTGTCCAGAATCAGGATGGCTTTGACAGTATACAAGGAGGGTTCCTGAAGAGATATGAACACACCTTCAGTCCTAACAGCTCCCATCAGCACTGGAAAACCAGACACGTTCCCCTAGGGTTTCACTGAGGCTTACAAAGGCACACAGTGAAGATTCTGTATATCCTCTACCCCAAACAGGTTAGATTTATACATTTCCTACTGAGAATGATTAAGTGGTGAGAGAAGTTATTGGGGTGTCAGGGTGCTGAACAAAGGCTTCCAAAACAAGCATCAGAGAAATCATTTATCTGAGCCAGATTCTAAGAGGCTTAATCAAGGTGGGTCATACTATTATCTCCAAGTATTATGCTATAGTTATTTTCCAAATTACTCTCCCTCCCAGGGACAGAGAATGTGACTGGATTAAGAGGCACTGCACAAGGCCATTTGTATACTTGGAAGTTTCTGCAGTTCCAATGCAGCAGCAATGCAGAGGCTTAAAGCAAGCCTCCTCTAAAACACTTAACACTTATACATACTGAGCAGAGACAAGCGTATATATACAAACCCCCCTGCTTCTAATGCAGTTCAGTGAGACTCATCTTCCAATGTCTGTCCTATAATCCCAACTCCTCCACTATACTCCTAACCACTACCACTTAACTTCTTAGGAAAAAAAATAAATAAAATCCATCAAAGTGAATGTTGGATTCACCAAAGTGAATGCTGGCACACCCATGTTTATTACTGCATTATTCACAATAGCAAAGAGACGGAAGCAAGCCAAGTGTCTATCAACAAATGAATGGCTAGAAAAACTATAGTACATTCACACAATGGACTATTACTCGGCATTGAAAAATAGTGAACTCATAAAACACTACACAACATGGGGAATCATGGAAGACATTATGCTGGGTGAAATACCTTAGTCACAAGTGGACAAATACTGCATAACACCACTATTATAAAATAGGACAGATATGGGGGCGGGGAAATGGGAAAAGAGTGAATAGATAATGAATACTGCATTAGAACAGATGAGAACAACTGTCTGAAAGGAATACACGGTTAGACATTATACACAGGACAACAATTTGGAACAAGGGGTACCTTGTGGGGTGGGGTGGGGGTGGAGGAAGTAAGGGGAAGAAAATGTGCAACAATAAAAAAAAATTAAAAATAACCCCCAAAACAAAACAAAGTGAATGTTGGTACAGTTAGCAAACAGTGCAAAGAGACTCTATCAGAGAAATACTTCGGGATTTGGAGACAGGGTGCAAAAGAAGATTTTCTTTTATCTACCAAGAATAATGCTTTGAGGGCACTAGCTCTTGTGAAGGAATTGCAGTTTCAGCCTTGATAGTTATATTCAAATAATGCCCTTCTTCAACTGCAAGGATCTAATTTTGCAGAAGTTGTGGTGTTCTGATGCTCTGTAACTTTTAAGGAACAAGATAAGTAGCAGAGGAAAGAAGAAAGAAGAGACAGTAGTAGATGTATGGAAGGAGCTCCCAGCCTCACCTTCCTTTCTAATCAGCATTACTCACCACTGAGATTGCTCTACTATGAAACAGGGCTGCTGGTGCTCCTTCTCTCCTCTAGTTTTACTTGAGACACCCACAGTCTACACAGGGGCCAAACACATTCTCCAAGTACATCTCAAAAGACTCAAGGGTGAGGAGAAAAGCATCACCGCCCCAGTCACAGTAACTGAAGCCTCTGAAAAAGCAAACTTTTCCATAGACTCCAGGTTTGTAATCTTATAAAGAATTAATCCTAGCTCAGAGAGTGTGAAGAATGAAGTGAAGAGAACCCACTCTTTTGACAAGGTTATAGAAAATAAAAGCGTCCTCACTTCAATTTGAGAGAAGCAATTTTTGTGGTTTTCCTCAAGTGTCTACAGTAATGTTTGGTATATACTAAACTCTCAATACCTATATAAAGTGTGAGAATATAGTAAAATCTTCTTGATGCAATAAGCATCTGAATGATCTTATAATTAAACTTCCATATATACACGGGATTTTCTAGTGTGGTCATTTTGGGTGGTATTACTATCAACATGTTTCTCCTCTGATAAATACTCATCAGAGATGTATACCCTACAAGCATTACTCTCGGTAATTAACTAGGCTTAATGAACTCTTCTCTCAAGCCAAAAAACTCTGAGTAGCAGAGGGAAGTCTTCCAGAGCCTAAGAGGTCACAGAAATAACCTTCCTAACTCTTAATTCCCTGGAGAAAGATAATTCCTTTAAAGGGAAATTCAGTTCTGCAGTAAGTTGGCCTTAACTCATCAAATGGGGGAAGTAATGGGATTTAATTTCCTAAAAAGAATAAAAGCAGTTCATAGGGAAGGAAATCTTTTATCCCTTGAATCCTCTGGTTGGTTGTCTGTACCTACATTTATAAGAACCTTACAGAGCTGTCCAATGATTTAAAATGGGATTGATCCATCATAATTGTAACTGTTTCCTTTTTTTAATTTTATTTTTATTATTTTTTGTGTGTACCATCAAATTTGATCTGACTGGTACAGGAGGTTACTGTCCCTCCTTCTCCAGCAGAGGTTCTGGGAGATTTGAATGGCTCACCTCTGGGATTGCAGTGCAGCTTCTTCCCACTAGGGCACCAGGGCTCGCTGTAATTAGTTCTTTTAGCTAGAGTCTGGCATCCCTAGAAGGAATGAGGTCTCAAATTTAAAAAAACAATCCTCATGGCCAACTGGAAATCAGGCAATGTTCTTACAGCCAACAGTGTGTATGTGACTAAGACAGCCGTGCTGGCAAAGAGAAACAGATTCATGGTTTGTATTCCTGGTTGGTTTCACTGTCTGCCTGCAATACACTGTCAAAGAAATCCCAAGATTAGAAACACTGGCTCTCCCTGGAAAGACTAAAAGACTAACAAAGGCAGGCAAGGAGAAAAATCAAATTTGACTTATCACAGCCATGAAAGGGCTAAAGCGGCACTCCGGAAAAGGCTGGTCTTTTCAAACTTGCAAATGAATGATCACAGAGATAAAGCTGAGAATTCAGGTGAGTGTAAGCACAGAGTTACCACTCCACTCTGCAAGAGCTGTAGCCAGCAGCTTCTCCTTTTCTTCTCCTGCCACCTCCTGACTGCAGCTGATGTCGCCACTGCCTGTGTCCCTTACATCTCAGGAATAGGGACAACCAGGAATTTCATGTCATAAAATCAGCCAGTTCAAGGCCCTAAAAGCCATTACTGTTAATGAAATTTGATTTTAAGTTTTTACAAAGGACAATTTTATTTATAAATAACTTCCAGCAATTGAGAAATGACCTTCTGAACAATGGACTAGGCTTGACTTATAACACATTAAACGATTATTAGTGACAAAGACCCTACAAGTTTAGGGTCATATTCAAAGGATTTAAAAAGTCTTTTCTTCCCTCCCTACTACACTCCAAACGAGTAAGCTGCTAGAAAGCTTTCGAGACAAAGTTCTGTGATGCACTGACTTTCACAGAGCCACAGCCTGAGTGTATAACAGAACTTCACCTCAAATGCTAATTGTACCTGGAAATGATATGCAGGTAGTTTGGTTTATGGAAGAATGGGTGGCTCTAGTAGCTTTCACATGTTTTGACTGTCAAAAAACTAAAATACTCTCTTAAGAAAGTGAAAACAGCACTGCATAAACAAGTCTGGAGAATATGAGTCTTTGATCTCAATCAGGGGATTCTGAAGTCTAATGAAAAACATCACTATCTCTGAGTACACTCCCTCCTCCAGCACCTGCAGAACTAGAGAGGACGAATCATTCCTCGTGCTGCCCCCTGTGGGCCTTGTAGTTGACCTGCAGCTTCCTCAGCAAAACTATTTAACAGGTAGCTCTGGAAAAAAGCTATTTTGTACACCTTATACGGCAGGTTAATAGAGGAAGACTCTGAAAAACACTGAAGAAAGTCTGTTCATAAATATGTACAGTTAAGAGAACACTATGGGGTAAGATGCCACCAGAGTAAGACTAGTGGAATAGTGACTAAAACTGACTGAGAAGGTTTATGAGGGCTATAACTAATTACTTATTTGTTCGTTTGGTAGGGTTGGGAAGAGACAAGATGACTGTGGAGTTAAGGATGCTATTCACACAGCCAAAAAAAAGCATCTAGTTGAGTTCTTCATTCTGTGCTTCTAAAGAAATCCTTACGGCCATACAAGAAGCAGTAAGTACCCTAACAACAGGCCTTGATCAATTAGAAACAATAAGAAGATGCTCTTTACTCAAATCTATTTATAAAGCAAAACCAAGACAAGTTAAAGATGCTCTATTGTTGTTGTAAGATGTCCTCAAGTCCACTATGACTCACAGCAACCCTATGAACAAAAGATTAAAACCCTGTCCTATCCTGTGCCTCACCCTCTCCAAGGAGAAATTCCTAGATATCTCTTCCAGTCCCATGTGGCTAAGCAGGTACTTCACACCCTGACTCCGTGTCAATTTCTTTAAAATAAAGAGCTCTCTCTGGGGTTGAGTGCTCCAATTTGTCAGCCACAAGTTTAGAGACTTCAGCCAAAAAGAAAAGAATAAGCTCAAGTTTTTGAAAGCAAAGAGCAGTTTTCACATACCACCCCCAAGAATCTGTTTAGATTCAGTAAGTATAACCAAGGAAAGAGTAGGAGTCACAGTTATCACTAACTCAGCTGTTGTTAAGTGCTGTTGAGTCGCTGGCAATTCACAGTGACCCTATGTACAAAAGCTCTGAACCCTTCTCTATCCTGTGCCAACATCATCATCTCTGATACATCTACCCCCATTATCCCAGTCACTGAGTCAATTCATCTCATCGAGGGTCTTCCTCTCTTATGCTGTCCCTCTACCCTCCCAAGCATGATGTCACTCCCCAAGGACGGGCCTCTCCTTGCAACATGCCCAAAGTATATCAGACAGAGCTTCAGAATCCTTGCCTCCAAGGAGCAGCCAGGTTTCACTCTCTCTAGGACGAACCTGTTTGTTCTTTTACCAGTCCATTCAACACTCTTCTCCAGCACCATAACTGAGAGGCATAAATTTTCTTTCTATCATCCCATTGTCCAACTTTCTGATGCATTGGAAGTAATTGCACAGACCATGGT